ATCAATCGAAGGAGTTGCATTCTCCTGTGGAATAATTCGTCGTGCTTGCTGTGGTCAGTGGGTGTTAACTTCAGCACAAAATGGAATATTACAAGCTCAGGTTATGGCATGCCAGCTTAAATGTTATGGATGAATACAAGTTCAAAGAAGAATGGAAAAGGATAGATGAAATAAATGAAAATAAGGGAAGAGAAATTCATGATGAGAAATTTCCCGACAACTTCCAAGCTGCATTTACTTCACAGCTGGTAGAAATAGGTATAGGCTTCATTGACTGTAAAATATTTTTTGTCCTATACTGAATTGAACATTTCCAATTGAAAGTAGGTGAGATTTTATGTTATCAGGAAAGTTTTTAGCAGAACAATAGCAATACCTAATGCTCTGAAAGATTCTGCCTTTGAAGAGTTCTGCTTTGCAGTTTTGCAAAGATCACAGAGCTCAGTCAAACTTTAGGTTTTGTTTCTTGTGGCAATAAAAAGCGGAAATATAAAATACCTTTTCCTCTTTGTTAACACAAACTACTTCCCTTACAAGCACTATTAATGTCTCTTTCACAAAGAAAACAGAAAACATTGATCTAAACTGTTTGCAACAGGCACCTCTGTTTCTCTAATCTGCACCTTTTTATTTATGGAAATTGCAGATGCACAGCATAATTGATGTGACTGTTCAAACAGGCTAAAGGCTAAATTGCAGCCAGCTCCCAAGTCCTTTGTGCTTTTTTACCAAAGGCCAATAATTCACTGAATGTGGACAGAATTTTTGTAGGAAAAAACAGAATCAAAATCTGTCCCCAGATAACCCACCCTATTATCTCTTCACCATTTTTTTCCAAGCACAGTTGAGATTCTTGGTTTTAATTTTGATAACATTACAGTTCCTCAACAAAGCAGTCACAATTAACATATTTTTCATGGTTCTTTAAATTATCTGGAAAACTCCTTACACAGAAGCTCAGCTCACTGCAGTTTTTCTTCAGGCAAACAATTGACAAATACTGAGAACAAGATGTCTGGAAAAAGTGCCTATGTATTTTGAATTCTTCAAATTTAATCCAGAATTATAAAATATCAAGATTTTACCAGGCTGTGGTCCTGAATTTCCCTATTTTGCCCATTTGTCCTGTGTTTTCATTCCTCCTTCTTGCCTGTACTCCTCTCTTGTGATTTTTGACATGAAAAAAACTTTTAAACTGTATATTAATGAGGGAAAATAATTTTTTTAAGTAAAAATGTGTATGGTAATTATATAGTTCAACATTTTGTCTTCTAAGTTGAGTTTTACCCTAGTATTTAAGTTTGTCATAATTATGCATTCTATTGTTTGCATTATCAAGACAATGCATTATTTTTCCTGACTTTTGTTTAGCTTGAAGCACTTGGAAAGAAACGGGAATAAACAGAAATTTATGAGATAAGTTACTGCCTAAGCCTGTCATCCGAAGTAGGCCAGCATTAAAATGGTCTAGGATTGATGAAGGAGAGCTGCATTAGATGAGAGTGGGAAGACTAAAAGTAATTTTTTTCACTGTGACTTCTACAGTAATTCAACTTTTTAAGAAAACTCCCAATAAGATAGATTTTTTTAGTTCCGTTTACTCTGGAAAATATCTTTCCCTTCCTGCACATGCAATCTGAAAATTTTAAAGGCAGATCTGATTTTTCCAAGTGATTTTAGCACCCATCACAGATCAGATTAATTATATTGGGAGATGCAGCCACAATGTAGGTGATGTACAGGTAGTGGAATTTTGTGCTGCCTTATCCTCTACTGCAGGTGTATTGGAAAGACCACAATAAATGATAATATAGCCTGTGTAGTCCTTTGAGATCTGTCTCTTAATGTGACAAAGCAACTCCTGGACTGCTGTCTTCTATGATTTCCATTTGTTTCATGAGTGGGGCTTTTAGGCACTGCTCATCATGCCCCAAGAGCAGCGTTTTTTCTGTAACCACAACCAGTGTGCTGACCTCCACTGGTGAATTCTGCTATAGGAACAAGGTGTTGTAGAATTCTGGTCATCAACTTGTGTCTGCATTGCACAGGTGGCCCCCTTTGCCATTAGGGGTTACTCAGCTTTGCTGGTATGATATGAAAGACAGCAGCAGGCAAAGATTTGTTCCATGATTTTGGCTCCCTCCTGCTCTGTGCTGTGTGTCCTGTAAGCAGCCTCTTGTAACTAGAACATGGTGTGATACATGAAGATGTCAACACACCTGAAACTCATCTTAGATCTTGGAAAGCAGAGCTCAGGGAGGTTTGCATGCCTGTCCCTCCTACACACTAGTTTAAAGTCGAGTTTAGTATGTTTTAGGTCTGACGCTCTCTGTCGTGGTAATGTAAATGGAAAAGCAGTGATTGTTGCTCTCCTGAGTCACCTGGCACTCTTCTGCACTGAGAAAATGAGGATTGGGACCGAAAGAAAACTTCACAAAGTTTTATCCCCAGAAACAAAACTGAGGAGAATGAAGAGGTTTCTTAAGGTGAACTGCCATGGTGCAGGAAGTGTTTTAGCAGAGATACAATGGAACGAGACTGTATCACATTAAGTCTCCTAACAGATGCCAAAGAAATGATACCATGGCGGTAAAAGATCTCCTTTGATTTTTCTTTTCTTCTTTTTCTGGGAAAGGTGGAGTACCCTGCCTGTATTGCTTCAAAAAATTCATGCACTTAGGCAGTTTGGTGTCAGCCCTGCTTTAGAAATGATGGTTTAAGAAGCTTCAGTGCACAAATTGTTAGAGGAGTGAGGAATTATTTTGATATGTGTTTATTGTACATCAGTATAAGCATTGTCCTCAAGCTTCATTTATTGACTTCTGGTAAACAAGGAGCAACTGTGAATTAGGAACAAGGCTTCACAAACACCTGGATGAAATAAAAGCTCTTGGGTAACCAGCATTCATGTGTTTTAATGTCTGTTTTTAACATGGGAGGGAAAAGGAAAAAGTAACCGTGAATAGTGGGAACAACCTTACCTGAAGTATGAGAGAGCTGTATGGACAGTAGGGAATGCTGTGGCTGAGGGATCTATAGTGGCTTTCATGTTCACTTGATGCACAGCATCCTCACTTGAACCAGAAGGCAAGTGTGTGAGTTTCAATGGTCCTCTCTTCTGACATTTAATTTCAATTCAAAAATGTGAGAATTTCAGAGTTTTAATCATTAAGCTGAAAAATGAATATGCAAGGATATCCAAAATATCACTGGCTTCTTCTCAATCACACTAGCTATTTCAATTAAGTGTGAGGATTATCTGCAGGGATTGGCACCTGAAAGTTAAAAGGACAAACAGTCTTTTCTGATAAATTAATATAATCGCTCTTTTCATTTTATTAAAAAATCATTTTTTAATTAAGTATTTAAAAGACATTGCAAAATACATTGTAAAGTAGAAATACTCTATTAAAAATAATTTAAAATTCATGCAGCAGATAAACCCAAATCTTCAGATGTTGAAGTTACTGTTCATTTTTGATAATCCTTAGACTGAAACAATATTTCCCAATCTGATCAGTAGATTCTTATTTCAGACGATTACATGGCATCTTGGAAATAAAACAAAACTTGTTTCCAGCTCTTTATGTGGAAGAAATTTTATCTGTCAGTTCTGAAATTCTCAAAAGGCAAAGGATTTGAGTGTTTATATACCAAAAGTATAAATGAATGGAGTCAATTATTATTTCACATAGGGTGCAATTCCACATCACTGATGCAGGAAAGAAGTTTCATATTTGTATGGCAATGTAGAGTTCCCAGTGTTTTGTATAGGTAAGAAAAATTCTGAATAAAGCAGTAAGAGCATCCTTAATAGACAACACTGAAAAAACATCCAGTTTCTGTACATAAGTGAAAATTATTTGTTCTTGGAATACAAATTGTAATTTGTATTCCCTTAAACCTACTTGCTTTGGAAATATTAAGGAGTTTTTACGTAAGTACAAAACAAACTATCTACAGATGATTGAATTGGTAACAAATTGCTTTTGCAAATCCCAGGCATTGTACCATCATAAGATTTTGCCTAGCAGATACCTACCTCAGAAAACCATATCAGCTTCTCCAATTGCTGAGTGTAGAGGGAGAGGAAAAGGGTGAACATCTTGAGCAGTAGACTGTGGGTGTTTGCTGCGTTCACCTATCTCCCCTTAGTTACTTGGAGCTGTGACAAAACATAGAGACAAAAGGGGGATTTAAAAAAAATTAACATTTTCCTTCATCTAAAAATCTGAGATTTATATATTTTTAAAACAGAAAGAGCCCTTGCAAATACTCCAAACTAGTGTGTTTTGGGGCAGCTATTTGAATAAAAACTGTTGCTTTTCATGGCTTGCATTACTCGGCTCTCATCACACAATCGATAGTTTGCAGCTCATCCTGGGAGGCTTAATTGCTGCTTGTGTTCTGTTTACATGGCAGCTGGATTTTAAAGGAAAGCAACTAGAGGAATAGAAAACAATGCTTGTTTTCTTCTTCAAAACGTGTGATATTTTTTTCCTGCATGTCCAAGTTCACTTGCAGCAAGTTGTGCAAATACATATGGTTATCACGAGCATCTGCCTGCCTACAGAACTGAGAAAAGTAATTGTGGTTTGATGGGATTTTTTGACTTTACGTTCCCCAGAATGAAAGAAAAACTTAATTAAGGTTTGTAGATAAAATCTCTAAGGAAAGAACATTGTGAGATTTTCCTTTGGCTGCTTTTGTTCTGAGATGTAAAAGTCTATTTCCATTACTGGACAAGACTGGCAGATGAACTGCAATTAAATGCACAATAGCAAAAGAGATTAAACACAGGAATGGTAGCTGACAGTGTGGGCTTCCTTCAGTGCTTTTTGTTGCGTAGAAAGTGCAGCTCCAAATCCTGCTCAGTTCACTGAAGCACCAGGCTTTAATGAACTGCTTTAAGCTGTTGACCTGTGAGTCTAGTTATCCTGAGCGATGCACAAGCATTCCTCTGCCAAATGAAAATTTTTGCTTTTCCTTCTTCCCCACAGGAGGAGAGGTTCCATACACAACCCTGGCAACCCGACTGATGATGGGAGCCTGGTGGCTTTTTGCTTTGATTGTCATCTCCTCCTACACGGCCAACCTAGCAGCTTTCCTCACCATCACACGCATTGAGAACTCTATCCAGTAAGTTGATAAAGAATTATTCAAGGGAAAGGAGGGTGAGCATAAATATACGTGTAGAGGGGTATAAATGTTCTACTTAAATGTGAGAACAGAAAAAAATGTTTATCCTCCTGAAAAGCAGTTGGATAGTTAGAAAACTAACAATACACTGTGGACTGTCGGTCTCCCTGGAGGCACTTTGTTTTTAGGATTGGAGCTGTTGGCCTCCAGCAGATGCTTTTCCCTGTGGCAGACATACATAAGGATGTTTGCACACATACATATTTTGAAAGAAGCCATTGGGTTTGAGATGACCACACAGTATCAGTGTTTGAAATAGGAAAGTCTAAATTGCTGCTGCTACTTTCCATTCAGATGTATTCCCCAATGCTTGTGTTCTGACGCTGGTCAGGAAGACCCCAATGCTTCTTTAGAGTATGGGGAACTCAGAGCTGACTTGGCCTATTCTTGCCAAAGCAAAATGTGTCAACAGCAACAAACAGTAATAAACTCACTTGTTTAGGAGCTCATCTTTGCTCCTTGTGCTCCTGGGTGCTCTCTTACTATATAAGCAGATCATGTCATTCTCCTTTCCCCTTTCTCTTTGCTGTTCTGCTTCATGCCTCCCAAAAATGAATGTCCTGGTCCTCTCCTGTCCCTTTTATGGTGAACTCTTTCTGTCACACCTTCCAGTCCTTTTCTGAAGATAATGTCATCTTTCCATTCCACAGGAACCTTTCTGGGTCCCCTACTCTCTCTTTCTGCCCTTTTGAACTCCAGTATCCTGTCCTTCACCTAGCTTCATACTGAGCTATCCTCATTCTCCTTGCTCCAGTGATAACCTTTGCCTTCAACTGCTCACTCCTGGGTCAAAGCAGAGACTAGAAAATACAGCAAAGCATTAGGTAGCCAAGCACTGCGAGGGACAGCTGGCCATTTTTTCATAGCAGTTTAATCTTGAGCCTACAAGTCTGTGAAAGTATGTGAGTGACCAAATTACCCTTTCCTATATACCCTCTTTGCAAAAATATCAGAGTGCCTTTAAAGAAGAGATGCACATTTCACTGTATTCCTTCCTTCAGAAAGTCCTTGACCTTCAAGTCAGGCTCAATGCTGATCTTAGGGAAAGTTTTGTTTTTCCACCCAGTCATTGACCCAAGTCCCTGCTTTGTGTGTATCATCACCTAAGGTCCTTCTGCCTCTAGTTCAGCTACTTTCAAAATCTCTCTGAAATTCCTCTTGAGACAGTGAGCCATTGTCACAGACTGAGCAGGGGGAGCCTTGGCCTCCTGTGAATTCACAGGTCAGGATCAAGCATCGCTGCGTGCCAGCAGTGACTGTGCTCACACAAAGGTGCTTCTCCTCTAGCTGAGGATTTTCTGTGTGCTTAAACCAATCCAGGCTCTCACATAGGCTGCAATAACAGACAAGTTTCATTTGCAGTCGAAGCCCAAGCTGGACCCAAGAGCAGAAGCAGAATTGAACTTTGAGGGCACGGTTATGTCCTGACTCTTGGGAGATGGAAGTGGAGAGAGAAGTTGGTGCTCCATGGATCAAATTGCCTAGGCTTTGCAAGTCCTTACATTCCAAATAGGAAATTTTCTCTGGCTGTTATCCTTCCTTTCTGAGGTAACAGCTTCACCACTTTCATCTATTAGGGGGCTCCATACTTTGAGAGATATATAAAATAGACTAAAATCATGAGCAAATGAGAAAATTACTCCCCTGACACAGTTGTATTACAAGTTAAATCAAGTTACCTATTTTTTTTTTTGTGTTCTGAATAACAAATTTTGAGATGATGCAATGTTATCAGGGTATTTTGACACAACCCAACCATTTGATTCTGTAGTCTCAATTATAATCCCTTCAAAATCTGGATGGGAGTAAAATGATATTCTGCGTCAATGTTTTTCACCATTGATCTTGATGTTTTGAGGGAAGTTGATGTATTTATTTTTTTAAGTTTTAAACAATTTAAATTTGACTAAGGACTGTGAAGAAACAACATGGGAATTTATATATGCAAAATAAATAATAATGATATATTCACTCATTCTGTTTGTCCTTACAAGAATGAAACATGCTTCTGCATTCTGCTTTGAAATAATAAGTTTTGAAGTAGAAAAATGTTCAAATTACTGTGACAAATGTCTCTTTTTTTATGATGTGTAAAAAAGAATAAAGTATACCCAAACTATAGTTTAATACATCTTCAGCTTTTTCTTGCAGTTTATTATGATGTCACTAGAAAAGCCTCAGTGGAATTTTGAGGTTATTATGTACGGTTGGGACTACCTTGGTCTTTGTGCTGTATTATTTATGGGCAGAGTCACTGAAAATGTTTTATTCAGTAGAAAATGTTGCAGCTGGAAAGCTCCTGAAATGAAAGAACAGACATCTTTCAACAGCACTTCCAGCTCAAAAATAGAGTAATTAGATGTGTTTAGTATTCATTAGGGAATGAAGTTATCCTAACTATGGTGTGAGTATAAAACTTCAGTTTACAAAACTGCCAAAATTGGAACTTAAACCAGCACGTAAGAGCAAGGAGATTTGTTTATCATGCTGAATTACTGCAAAGTGGAAAACATGAAAAAGCAATAAAGAAAAAAAGCTGATGCTCCTTTTTTCCTTTTTTCTTTTTCTTTTTTTTTTTTTTTTTTTTTTTAACAGTACAAATTGTACCTTGGGGAGCCTTCAAGGCAGGAATGGAAATGAGTATAAGCATTGAAAAAAATAATCCAGATTCTGCTAGTAGTGCTTGTTAGCTTTAGACTAGCCAGAAAAAAAGGAAAGAAATTGAAGTCAGTGGGTTTCCACAGATATAAAAAGTAGTTTATAATTTTTCATTTCAGCTTTCCAGCTAGCATCAGATATTACAGTGTGTTGTCGTAGGTATGGTTCTCCTGATATCTTTTACAAAAGATAGGAGGATTCAAGCAGCCTACAGTACATTTCATTTCCATGAAACATTTGGTAGTTACTGCATTTCAGCTTTTGGATTTGAAGCCAGTTCGTGTTCAGAGCTCTTGCAGCTTCCACTGCTCAGTTGGAGTGAAGGCTGGTCCATTCTTCCTAGTCAGTGTCTCATGGTATCCAGAGCTCTATTTTGAGTAGCAAAGCATGCAAAATTTTATCAGCCCATCCACTAAGGAGGACCCTTAAAGAAATAAGTGTTCCCTTTCCCTATAGAGTTTCAAAGTAGGTCTTTGCTGTATAACCTCACTTGATGCCATTTGTGCTCTGCCTCAACGTTCAGTTTGAATCAAATTTTTGCAGTTTTTAAATTAATTCAGAGAAACTAGAAGAAAAAGAATGAGTGTTAAATCTGCTTTTCCAGAGAAATGGTTACTCTTAATACCTTTGGGAGCTCAGTTTTTCACCTTCTGCCAACATGCAATATCAAGAGCAGAAGCATTCAAGTTCTAAAGTAGTTCCTGGATGCATCTTTTGTTCCCACTTTGACCCACCCATTGCAGATGACATTTAAATCAAGACAGTCAGCATTTCAAATGCCAAAACACTGTGGCAGCAAAGCATAATTTCTATGCATTTTTAATCTTTAGATCCCTTTTGCAAAAGCAACCTAAATTAATTGTAATTAGGAGTAGCTTTTCTTGGTAAATGCCAAATAAATTTGGAGGTCCTGAGCTATTTCTAGGACATGCTTATGTTCTGAATTTCATTGCTGAGCCAGTGTTGACATTATTATGTTTTATGATTCCTTTAGGACCAAGTTAGAGTCCATTGGCAGAGATTGATTTTATTCAAGTTACTGCACTGTTTTTCTGGTTTAGGAGAGATTGTCGCCACCTCAAGCACTCTGACATTTTACAGGAAGGTTGTGGGAGTGGGGTGAACAGAGAAGTCAAAGGATTTGCCACATGAAAGCCTGGTGTTAGGTGGTTTCAAGTTTAATTCATGTCTAAAATGTGGAAGCGTGAGAGTTTAGATGGTACATGTTGTGGGGGAAAGTGTGCATCTTTTGTCTTCTGTAAAATCAGAGGTTCACATTATGTTCTCCATTTGATAACAAGTGTGTCTTGTTTGATAGGTGAGACCTCTGCCTCCAAAAATGGAGACATGGTGGGAAAGCAAGTCTTTCTTTCTCAGCCATTCTTTTTACAACATTTTGCTAAACCATGATTTGCTTGAAGATCCCTTAAGGCTTTATACAGCTCAGTGCAACTGTATTCAGGATTTCTGCAAGGGGGTTGCACAGAATGCAGTAATTAGATGTTGCCCAATGCATGTCCATTAATATTTTCTTTAACATGGTTCAGCCTGCAAACAATATTACAGGTTTCTGCACAGCTCACCCGGTGAGCAGCCAGACCCCTTGGCTTAATGTGCCCTGTTCCCTAACCCTAAATCTGCTTGTGAATTATTCCTCACTGTCCTAGAGAAAAAAAACCCAACCAACCAAAGAAATGAACAAAATACCCTGCAAGAGCAGTGGAAAGCTTTATCTGAACCAGTCATAGATAAAGACTTCAGTGTAGGCCATGACTTTGGTTGTTTTTTGCTGAAAATTTAGTGACTAGTTCTTAGAGACAGCTCAATGCAGCACTCAAGTCTAGCACAGCTAGCCTGAATTGATCTATAACCCAGGTTTACAAAGATGTGTTGGTGCCCAAGTCTCTGACCTCAGTGGTATTTTATCACCTAAAAAGAAATTCAGTTACTTCTTTAGGAAGCTGACTTTTTGCTTTGCAACATTTTTCTGTGTACTTTTTTTAACACTTTTGGCTGACATATGTGAGCATGTTACCAATTCTGAGTCTGGGATGTGAGTTTATAGAAAAGGGTATGCTCTGGAGAAAGAAACATATCTAAATCCTACTATATTTTTCTTCTAGCTGGAGGCAGAGATAATTTCTTAAATTGCAAAGTGACTGATTTTTACTAAGCCATAAAATTAAAGTGACCTGACAACTGCTGCCTGATTAAGATGTAGAATACTAAGCAAAATCAACAAACTCTGAAAAATATCTCTATCTGTTAATAACTCTTCCTCA